GGAAGCGGGTTTGGTTTCTTGTTTGGTTGAAGTGTAATCCATACTGAAGGCTGTAGTCTTTGATTTTCATCAGTGTTTCAAGTCTTCTTCACTTACAGCAAGGTTGTGTCATCTGCGCATTGCAGGTTGTTAACAAGTGTTCCTCCAATCTTGATAGAGTGTTCTTCATATAATCAAGCTTCTCAGATTATCTGCTCAGCATCTCACTGCCGTCGAGTTGATCCTGACTCATAGTGACCTCTCCTTGGGTTTCCGAGGCAGTATCTCTACAGAAGTGTGTTGCCCAATCTTCCTTCCAAGGAGTGGCTGGTGGGTTTGAACCACCAGCCTTCTGATTAGCAATCAAGTGCCTTAGGCACTACACTACCAGAGCTCCCAGCATAGAGACTAGATCTCCCAAATAAATGTCAGTCTGTAACAATAGCAGTATGTATGGGTATAGTTGGTAAAAATTTTATTTGCTTATTGAAATTCTCCTAAAAACCAAAACAAAAAATCTGTTGCCATCAAGTCAGTTCTGACTCATGGTGATTGCATGTGTTGCAGAGTGGAACTACTCCACAAGGTTTTCTTGGCTGTAATCTTTCTGGAAATAGATTGCCAGGCTGTTCTTCTGTGGTACTGTTAAGTGAGTGTGAACCACCAACTTTTATGGAAAAATGCTTGTACTACCCAGAGACCTATTCTCATAAAACATGAAAATAGAAACGTTTCCTGCATTAGGAGTTTTTGGCAGTGAGTAGAGGTCACAAGAATAAATTCCTGCTTGTTCAAGCTGGCAGAGCAGCAGCCAGGCATCCAGGTAAGGGGGGGAGATGGACCCAGGCCCCACCCCCACTAGCCAGGAAAGTGAAGAAAGAGAAGCCAGAGGTGAGGACAGAACGGACCAGTAGCCAGGCATCCAGGTAAGGGAAGGAAGGGACACAGGCCTCACCCCCAAATGCCAGGAAAGCGGGGGAAAGAGAAACCAGAGGCAAGGACAGAGCAGACCAAGAGCCAGGCATACAGATAAGAAGAGGGAGGGACCCAGGCCCCACCCCCACCAGCCAGGAAAGTAAAGAAAGAGAAGCCAGAGGTGACAACAGAGCAGAGCAGCACCAGGGTTACAGGTAAGGGGAGGGTGGAGAGGTTTTGAACAGTAAGCAAGACAAACTTATTGGTCAGTTTGTTGTACTATTGTGGCTTGTGTGTTGCTATGAGGCTCGAGGCTGTGCCACTAGTGTTTCAAGTGCTGGTAGGGTTGCACATGGTGCATAGGTTTCAATGCAGCTTACTGACTGAAACAGACTAGGAAGAAGGAAGAGGCCATCTACTTCTCAAAGAATCAGCCAAGGAAAACCTTATGAATAGCAGAGAAACACTGTCTGATACATTACTGTGCAACTTTGTGAATAGCCCGGAAATGTTATCTGATACAGTGCAGGGTGATGACGAGTCCCTTAGGTCAGAAGGCTTTCAAAATATGAATAGGAAAGAGTTGCATCATCATATAGGGCTAACTTTACTGATTTGGATAGAGTAAAGCTTTCAAGACCTCCATTTGCTGATGTGGCATGACTCAAATTGAGGGGAAACAGCTGCATACATCCATTAATAATAGGAACATGGAATGGAGAAGTATGAATCTAGGAAATTGGAAGTTGTCAAAAATGAGATGGAACACATAAAGATTGATATTCTAGGCGTTGTTTGTTGTTATGTGTTGTGAGGTTGAATCCAACTCACAGTGACTCCTCCTTGGGTTTCCGAGGCAGTATCACTATGGAAGTAGATTGCCCAACCTTCCTTCCGAGGAGTGGCTGGTGGGTTTGAATTGCCAGCCTTCTGGTTAGCAGTCAAGTGCCTTAGGCAGTATGCCATCAGAGCTGGTTTTGGCCATTTTGAATCAGACAACCATATCATCTACTATGCTGGGTATGACAATTTAAAGAGGAATGGGGTGGCATTCTTCATCACAAAAGATTTTTCAAGATCTGTCCTGAAGTACAGTGCTGTCAGTTATAGGATAATATCCAGATGCCTACAAGGAAGAACAATTAATATGACTATTATTCAAATTTATGCACCAACTACCAAAGCCAAAGATGAGGAAATTGAAGATTTTTTTAATCAACTTTTGCAGTCTGAAATTGACCAAACATGCAATCAAGATGTGTTAATTATCACTGGTGACTGGAATGCAAAAGTTGGAAACAAAGAATCAACAGTATTTGGAAAATTTGGCATTGGTGACAGAAATAACACTGGAGATTGCATGATAGAATTTTGCAAGATCAGTAATTTATTCATTGTAAATACCCTTTTTCAACAACACAAATGGTGATTATACACATGGACTTCAGCAGATGGAGTACACAGGAATCAGAATGACTAAATCTATGGCAAGAGGTGATGGAAAAGCTCAAGATCTTCAGCCAAAACAAGGCCAGGAGCTGATTGTGAAAGAGACCATTAACTGCTCATATGCAAGTTCAACTTGAAGTTGAAGACAATTAAAACAAGTCCACAAGAGCCAAGACATGATCTTGAATATAACCCTCCTAAATTTAGAGACCATCTAAAAGAACAGATTTAATGCATTGAACACCAATGGCCGAAAACCAGAATAATTGTGGGATGACAGCAAGAACTTCATTCATGAAGAAAGCAAGAGGTCATTAAAAAGAGGAGAAAAGACGAGAAAAGAAAAAAAAGACCAAAATGGCTGTCAGAAGAGACTCTGAAACTTGCCCTTAAACGAAGAGTAGCTAAAGCAAATGGAAGAAATGACAAAAGAGTTGAACGGAAGATTTCAAAGAGCAGCTTGATCAGACAAAGCCAATTACTATAATGAAATGTGCAAAGACCTGGAGTTAGAAAACCAAAAGGGAGGAACACACTCAGCATTTCTCAAGCTGAAAGAGCTGAGGAAAAATTTAAGCTTCAGTTGCAATATTGAAAGATTCTATGGGCAAAATATTGAATGATGCAGGAAGCATCAAAAGAATATGGAAGGAATACAGAGTCACTGTACCAAGAAGAACTGGATCTTCATGCATTTCAGGAGGTGGCATATGATCAAGAACCAATGGTACTGAAGGAAGAAGTCGAAGCTGCACTGAAGGTATTGGTGAAGAACAAGGCTCCAGGAATAGACGGAATACCCATTGAGATGTTTCAACAAATGGATGCCCCATTGGAGGCACTCACTTGGTTATGCCAAGAGATTTGAAAGACAACTACCTGGCCAACTGACTAGAAGAGATCTATATTTGTACCCATCCCAAAGAAAGGTGATCCCACAGAATGTGGAAATTATTGAACAATATCATTAATATCGCATGCAAGTAAAATCTTAATGAAGATAATTCAAAAACCGTTGCAGCAGTATATTGATGGAGAACTTCCAGAAATACAAGCTGGTTTCAGAAGAGGATGTGTAATGTGTCATAGCTGCTGTCAGATGGATCTTGGCTCAAGGCAAAGAATACCAGAAAGATGTTTACTTGTGCTTTATTGACTGTGCAAAGGCATTTGATTGTGTGGATCATAACAAATTGTGGATAACATTGAGAAGAATGGGAATTCCAGAATCTTTAATTGTACTCATGAGGAACCTGTACATAGACCAGGAGGCTGTTGTTTGAACAGAACAAGGGGACACTGCATGGTTTAAAATCAAGAAGGGAGTGTGTCAGGGTTGTATCCTTTCACCATACTTATTCAATCTGTATGCTGAGCAAATAATCCAAGAAGCTGGACTATACGAAGAAAAACGTGGCACTGAGATTGGAGGAAGGGTCATTAACAACCTGAAATATGCTGACAACACAACTTTTCTTGCTGAAAGTGAGGATGACTTGAGGCACTTACTGCTGAAGATTGAAGAATCATACTACAGTCTGTAGTATGGGTTACATCTCAATTTAAAGAAAACAAAAATTCTCACAACTGGACCTATAACCAGCATCATGATAAATGGAGAAAAGATTGAAGTTGTCAAAGAGTTCACATTGCTTGGTTCTACAATCGATGCTAATGGAAGCAGCAGTAAGGATATCGGATGACACACAGTACTGGGCAAGTTGGCTGAAATGGAGCTCTTTCAAGTGCTGGGGAGCAGAGATGTCTCCTTGAGGACTAAAGTGTGCCTGACACAAGCCATGATATTTTCAATCACCTTGTATGCATGTGAGAGCTGGACAATGAATAAAGACTGAAGAAGAATTGATGCTTTTGAGATGTGGTGCTGGCAAAGAATGCTGAAAGTACCGTGGACTGCTAAAAGAACTAACAAATCTGTCCCGGAGGAAGTGCAGCCAGAATGCTCACTGGAAGCGAGAATGGCCAGACTTCCTCTCTCCTACTTTTGTCTGTTGCCAGAAGGGACCATTCCCTGGAGAAGGATGTCAGGCTTGGTAAGGTAGAGGGTCGATGAGGGAGGGGAAGGCCCTCAACGAGATGGACTGACACATTGGCTGTGGCTATGGGGTCAAGTATAGTGGGGATCACAGAGCTGGTGTGGGAGAAGGCAGTGTTTCATTCTGTGCATAGGGTCACTATGAGTCCGAGGTGACTCAATGGCACATATCAACAACAACAGCAGAAGTCACAATAAAGGACAATAAGTCTTAACTTTCTATAATAGCTTTTATTTCTCCCTTAAGAAAGAGTCCATTTTCCTACAGATACATTAATTCAGATGATATATGTATTTTTTTAAAGTGCCAAAACTCATACAATTCCCATAACTGCACATGATACTAAGCAGAAGAATGAATCAACTTAAACACTCAAGGTCATTTGAAAATCTAAAGAACCTCTGGTTTCTGAGAGAGTAGAATTCTGCCAGCAAATAGCTGAACTAAAATCCAAGCAAAGAAATCTTCATCTTCTGGTTCTTAGTCATAACAGACTGTTTGCTCAAATGTAATTATGTAGAAACAGTACCCAAGAGTGTTTGGTAAAAATCTGTTTTAAAAAAATCCTAGATAAACTTCATTTGCTAATTTTCTAATGTACTATCTATCTTTTTTCTTGGTTTCTTCTGTTTTCTTTTCTTTCCAAAAATTTCCAAGAACAATCCCTAGAAATAGTATTAGTCCTATTGTTCTGTTAGAGGCAAATTTATCCCAACAATCCTCAGGTCTGTGGATATCTAGGGTGTAAATCTGTAAGAGAAGAACATAATGTTTCATTTGTATCTAGGATGGCACACAATGGAAAAAAATTTCTTTTTTGCATCACAAATGAACACAATACAGAGAAAAAAACAGCATCGTTAGAGAATTTTAAGCAATGGGAAGTCCCTTGATATAGACTGAACTGTATCCCCCCCCAAAAAAATCAAACTCACTGCCGTGGAGTTGGAGCCGACTCACTGCAAACTCTCCTTGGGTTTCTGAGGCAGTATCACTATGGAAGTAGATTGCCCAACCTTCCTTCCGAGGAGTGGCTGGTGGGTTTGAACCACCAGCTTTCTGGTTAGCAGTCAAATGCCATAGGCACAATGCTACCAGAGCTCCTCTAAACTGTATCCCAATGTAGAAAAATCTACCTCTCTCATTGGATAGTATCTAAGTTGTGCCCTACAAACTTCCAGTAGAATGGTGGATGAATGCTTTGAGAGGCAATCTAGGCTATTTTCACCCTAACTATTTGGAAAACTCTTTCTGGCACTGACTGATCTAAAATCTACTTCTCTGCAACTTCTACCCAGTGGTTCTAACTTTATTCTATGGAACAATGTTTTTCAACAAGAGAACAAGTCACACTTGGGCAAGACAACTCCTTATTGTGCAGGCCTGTCTGATGTACTGAAAGGTATTTAATAGATCTGACCTTCACCCACTCTATGCCTGTAGAGCCTCCTTTCCAGTGTACTATGAGAACCAAAACACCTACTACATTACTAGATCTTTTCCCTCTCATGTAGAGGCAAACCAAACTCACTGCCATCGAGCCAATTCTGACTCACACAACCCCCATTGGGTTTCCGACGCTGTAAATCTTTATGGAAGCAGATTATCCTACCTTCCTCCTGTGGAGCAGCTGGTGGGTTTGAACTGCTGACCTTCTAGTTAGCAGTCAAGCCTTACCCACTGCGCCACCCAAGCTCCTTTATCACATAGAGGAGGGAAGTTGGAAACTCGGCTAGCAATCAAGAAGAAAAACGTACTCCTTGTTCCCCATGGCAGCCTGCAAACATTATCAAAAACGTCTCATGTGCCTGACTGCTTTAGGCTTAAGCATCCCTTATTTCCTCCACTATCTTCTATTGGTCTGTAGACTTAAAATCATCTTGACTTCCTTCTTCTTCAATTACCAGGGTATGTCCATTGTAAAATGTTAAATCAAAGGCTGGACAGAGGACCACAAATGAAGTTTAAATAAAAAAAACAGAACAAAAAAAACCCCAAAACCAAATCCACTGCCACTGAGTCAATTCCATCTCATAGTGACCATGATTGGGTTTCCAAGGCAGTAAATCTTTACGGAAGTAGATTGCCCAGTCTTTCTTCCATGGAGTGGCTGGTGGATTTGAACCGCCAATCATCTGGCTAGCAGTCAGATGCAAAGTGGGTTGTAAATATTTCTTAAAATATTTGTGATTGTCCTCATAGATATTGCCTTTCTCCGCTGTCTAATATCCAGGTGTTTAAATATTGCTAAAAAAACCCCCAAAATACGAAAAACGTCGCCAAGTTGATTTTGACTCATGGCAACCCCATGTGCTGCACAGAACTACGCTCCTCAGGGTTTTCAAGGCTGGGACCTTTCGGAAGCAGACTGCCGGGCCTTTGTTCTGAAGTGCCTCTGGGTGAGTTCGAACAGCCAGCCTTTTGGTTAGTAGTTGAACACTTAACTTTTTGTGCTATACAGGGGCTCCATCCATCATTCTGGGAAGATAATCAATTTACAATTCTGTATCAAAAGACACTAAAACTGTGATGCAGCTGAGTTAGGACTAAAAGGGGACGCTTAGAAATTCTGAAGAGGGAACTGGTGAAATCCTAGAGAATCCCCAATTCCTATCTTTTAGCTTTCCCAGAAAGGAAAGTAATGAAGGTGATACAGAACGTGGTCTATTGTATGGACATCAGATTTCAGTTTCCTTTACACCATCCTGTGTAAGTCATGCCTGTACTGAAATGTGACTTGCAATAGCCTGTATAAAACAGATGTTCTAAACATAGGTTCACACAATCTTTTGGATTCTGTTCAGTGAAAATAACACAATACAAAAATGCAGTGTATTCTCCAGCAACCCAATTAAATTTAGTTTATCTGTTTTATTAAAAAAATTAATAACATAGATGCTCAATGTAAGCTTGCAGGGGGTGGGCAATGGGGTGCTAGGCCAACAGCTAGGATTGACAGTTTTCTGGTGTCTAAGCAGAACCCTGAGATATTAACATTTCATGCTTTATCTGGTCTTGGTTTCTATGTCACTGGGACAATAACCTATGAATAATTAATTGGCTTACCATCACTAAAAGGCCAGAGTTTTTAAAAATCAGTTTTGTTGATCAGTTTGCTTTTGTTGTTGTTGTTATGTGCCGTCAAGTCAGACCTGACTCATAGAGAACCCTCCTTGGGTTTCTGAGGTGGTATCACTATGGAAGTAGATTGCCCAACTGTCCTTCTGAGGAGTGGCTGCTGGGTTTGAACTGCCAGGCTTCTGGTTAGCAGTCAAGTACCTTAGGCACTATGCTACCAGTTTGCTTTTAGAATAAGTCAATTCAACCAACTACCTTTGGACATTGCTGAAATTTTTCCAGATCTGCATGTGATGTAATTCCAGGAAAACTGGAGAATATTCTTAGGGAAAAAATTCAGGCTTAGGATAAATTCTCTAACACAGCTAGCTTTTTTCTATGACAAGCGGGGCAAGGAAAGGGGTGGTTAAGACAGTACACAAAATAGTTGTTTGTTTCAAGAAGTATTTTGCTTGATAAACATAGAGGACATTTAAGTTATATAATTTTTCTGATTTACACTAGAAAAAAGTGAGAGGAAAAATAAGAACAAAGTCCAACCTGGTGAGCCAGATGGCCTCCGACTGCAGCTAGAGCAGCGTAGTAGGGCATGGTCTGGTCGCAGTTCACTCCCACCAGACCCAGTGCCCCCAGCATCGCCAGGCTGAAGCCACTGAGCCATTGCTTGGTACTTTCATTGAACCTCAGTGCTGTTGACTTGAGACCAATGAGTGCATCATCTCTTTTGTCCTAGTATCAGAAAGCAATAAGGCAGCATCTTTTAAAAGACATGTGGATATACCATACGTGTGAAAGGTAACTAACTCAGAGACACAGGTTAGTCAATGAATGTGCAGGCCAAACAAAGGAAATGTTACTGCTGAAGTCGTCTTCTAGTTCTATTTCTCCATGTCATTGTATATCCTTATAATGATGCTCTGCTAAAATTTTAATGTATTAGGATCAAAACTCAACTCTAATTCTTCAGAAAGGGCCTCTCTACCTCAGAGTTTTCATATTTAATTAATTTCCTGTACATTTTATTATAAATTTTCTAAAATCACAGATGTGGAAAAATACCTACTTGCCCCCTAACCACATCAATTCACATTTCACTTGCAGCCCAATTTATTCCTTGCCTCTCCCATCAAATCCTTTGTTTAAGCAGAAGTAGGTCTTGATGAAATACTCATACCTAGCTTACTGGTCTCCTCCAGCAACTTAATGTGTAAACATATACATATACTGCTGTAATTATGGTCATGTGGTAGCAATGGCTGCACGCTGAACTTCTCTGCACTGACCTACAAGCAGACAGCCTATCTGATAGACTATTTTAGGTTCCTTGATTATTGCAACTTGAGACATAAGTATCCAAATAATAACAGTGATCTGTGGGGTTAGCATATCTGTTTGTCCTTCCATCCTGCCAAGTTCCTTCCGTACAAACTGTGTATCTAATTATCTGAATCACTGAAGTATCAATGTGTATGTGGCGTTTTTCTAAAGAAGTTGATAAAATTGGAGTATAGCAATAGCCACCTCTCCTCAACAATGATGAATTTTTCATGATGACACAAATGCAGTGTGTTTGTAAGGGAGTAACAGAAGAAAGCAGGGTAAAATGCACATTGAAGTGTTAGAAAAATCATGACATATTCTTTAAATAGGTGCTCTAGTAGCACAGTGCCTAAAGCACTTGATTGCTAACCAGAAGGCTGGTGGTTCAAACCCACCAGCCACTCCTTGGAAGGAAGGTTGGGCAATCTACTTCCACAGTGATACTGCCTTGGAAATCCAAGGAGGGGTCGCTATGAGTCAGGTCGGACTCAACGGCATATAACAACAACGATATTCTTTAAATAAATGATGGAGAACCATACTAGTCATATTTCAGAAAAATACTGAGAAAAATCTTCTTTGTAAAAAGTTCTTAAATGTACATTAAAAATGTAAGTAAGAGGAGCAAAGAAAGTTTATTTTTATTAAACTTATAAAAAAGCAATATCAAAAGCTGTAAAAATGCTTAAACCCTTTAACTTAGTAATACTATTCCTGAATATTTATCTTAAACACTCATATTCATGAAGACGTTAATGATTAGTATAGTGTTACTTCTAATTGTGAAAATTCAGGAACAATTTAAATGGCCAAAATAGGCAAACTGTGAAATACAAAAATAATACTACAGCATATCAACTCAATGGGCTAGTATGTAGTCTTTTTTTTTTTTAAATTTATTTGTTTTTATTTGGGTGAAGATTTACAGAGCAAATTCACTTTCCATATGGCAGTTCACATATACTTT